TGATTTTTTCACTCTTGTTTACAGCTTCTGTGGGTTAATCTTATCATGGATACTCTTGGAGCTCTGGCTTTGGCTACTGAACCACCAACAGATCACCTGATGCAGAGGCCTCCTGTTGGTCGAAGGTATGGATGTTTTGGTTGATATTAGCACTGAGCTTCAGTTAAGTCTTTTTTAACAGCAAAAATTTGTGTGATACCAATGGAATCTGTTTCTGAAATTTGCATAAACTTCTTCCTACTTGTTTGGGATTAGGTTTCTCCACTCTTAGTGTGTCTTTTATCTCATTTTCTCTTGACAGTATGTATTTAAAGGACTCTGAATATCTGTTATTTGGTGTCTTCATGTTATTGTAAAAAACCAGTGGGCTGCATTTTAGATCTCTATGAACACCAAATGTGAAGTAGCCAGTGTCCTAAACACATGTTGAACTCTTGATTTGGAATCCATTTAACATATATTCTTTTCATTGACAACATGATTCTGTGGCAGAATTTTCTGTCTACCTTTTTTCTTTTTACTTTGCTCTGATAAATAATTTTCTGTATTTAAATATCTTTGATTTTTTCATTTTTTGAACATGGGCATTTTCTCTGATATTGGGGGCCCTCATCCCATCGAATGGCCCATGTTTCCAGTTTAGTCTGGACTGCAAAACAGGGGACTCAAAATAAATTTAAGAAGGAAACATATTTAACTCTTCTTGTTTCCTTTTTCTCTTTGATGGTTCTATTTATATGATGTGTCTGTTTTGTATGCTTTTCAGAGAGCCTCTCATTACTAACATCATGTGGAGGAACCTGCTTATCCAAGTAACTATAGTTCCTTTTTAATTTCCAAAACTTTTAATTATTCTTTAAATATCTGCTTCACTTCTATATTATTCCAACAAAAAATTCTTCATTTTAATTCTCATTGTATTGTTAATTGTCAGGCTATATATCAAGTTACTGTCCTTCTAGTTCTCAATTTTCGAGGCAAGAACTTGCTGCATCTGGAGCATGACTCTGTTGACCATGCTAACAAAGTGAAGAACACATTAATATTCAATTCATTTGTCCTCTCTCAGGTATGTCATAAACACATTAACATTCAAAGCCATAAACAATATACTGCATGGATTAAAACACTACATATGCACGTCTGTTCTGTTGAAGTCTTGTAAATGAAATCTAAGTCTGATGATGCTGGCCAAAGTGGAACAAAAAATTTGATAAAAGGCAAACTGTTTGGCCTGCAGATCTTTAATGAGTTCAATGCTCGGAAGCCAGATGAAATGAATATTTTTGAAGGACTCACTAGAAACTATCTCTTTATGGGCATAGTTTTTATAACAGTTGTGCTTCAGGTAAAACTTGTTTATTGAGGCATTTTGTTGGTTTACGAATTTAAAAGTTGTTGCTTAGTCCAACTTTAGTACATGCTGTTGTTTAGGCCATTATTGTCGAGTTTCTTGGGAAGTTTGCCTCAACAGTCAAGCTGAGCTGGAAGCTTTGGCTGGTTTCAATAGCCATTGGTTTTATCAGGTAACTTGGGATTTCAAGTTTTCTTCCCTGAAAGAAGGAAATAAGATACTGACATGTTTTGTTCATAGCCCCATTACCCAACATGCGTTCTGTTTTCATTCTTTTCGTGAAGCAGTTGGCGACACCTATGTAACGTGTCTTTCTTCTTTTGTTCCTTTTGGGAAATAGTTGGCCCCTAGCTTTCATCGGCAAATTGATACCTGTACCAGAAACCCCTTTGAGTGATTACTTGACAAGAATATTCTGCTGCAGAAGAAGTGCCCAAAGTGAGGATTCTTTTTCTTATTTTTGCTGTTTTTAGTGATTAGATTGAAGAGAGATCCTTAGTTTTTGGTTATCTATCATCCCTCAGGAAGTGAAGAAAAGCGTGAAGAACAGCTTGAAGGTTCACATTAGTGATGAAAACCTGTTTCTAAACTTACGTGGTTGAATCTTTTTCTTGGTTCTTTTGCTTGTAGGAGAAAAAATGCGGGTATCTGGTATCAGTTCTCGTCTTCCTTTTTTACAAGCATTACACCTTTAAGACTTGGAAGCTTTTTAATAACTTTATTTGGAGTATTGGAAGCTTTTTAATACTGGATTGGATTAGATTGGATTGGATAAGATAATAAAATCTAATCTCATGTTTGGTGTTTCTTTCGATTGGATATAAAATTTATTTTATATTTAATTAGGCAATATGTAAGATTATATGAGATTATTTTTTTAATTTATGTATAGACAAAAATATCCATAGTTCAAAATATTTAAAAAATTTTAAAGTCACTAGAATTTGTCAATATAAAAATTGTTCAAAAAATTTCAGTAATTATTAAAATTTATATACATAAAACAAAATATCTACATAAATCAAAAAAAATATGTAAACCTAAAAAACATGTTAATTTATCAAAAAATTTTATTTATATAATATAAGAAGAACAATTCAAAATTAAATTTATCTAAATAATTTATTAAAAATTATTATATTTAAAATTTGAAAAACAAAATTAAAAAAAATACATATAACAAGATGTTGGGAGATCCAATCTTAAGAGAGAAAGAGAGAGAGAGGAGGGCAAGAGTGAGATTTTGCGTAAGACCCATAAAAATGAAATCCCATCCCACGTAGTCCCATGGGGGATGTGGGATAACTTTTAATGCAGTTGGTTGGGATGGAACAAAGTGTGGGTTATGATTTGTTCAATCCTCATACAGCACCAAACGTGGGTTACAGCAGTTTAGGACTAATTTTTATCCAATCCTGAGTTATGTTCGGGTGGCCAAACGTGTTGTTCAAGTAAGGTTGGAGTTACAAATATCCATGATGCTAAGCAACTGATTCACAATGTACAAAAACAAATAGTACAAAGGGTTTTCATTCCCTTCTGCGTGTTCCTTTTCTGTTTATTGTCTATCTGTTATCTGAACCTTTTTTTTTCCCAAATCGATGGGGTCTTAAGCATCATTTTCAAAATTGAACTGGAGGTCAAATCGTTTTAACCTTTAATTTATGGTTTTAGTGATTGAATCGGTTTAACTAATTAGAAAACCAAGTTGATTGAATTTTGAAAATATATATTAAATATAATATAATGCAATTCATTTCAAAAAGTTAGAAATAGTTCTAGTGGTTGAGAGCCCTTATCTATTTCACACAAAACTAGAGTGTAAACTTGATTTAGATCAGGTGGTAAAAGTTATTCTAGACTTACAAGAGAGCAAGTGTTCAAATTTCATGGAAGTAACTTTGAGTTTTTCTTTTAGTCTTTGTAACTCATTTCACTAAGAGTTTCACTGCTTTCGTGGTAAAGGGGTTGTTAAAATTTTATGAGGTCTTGTGTTCAAAAACCCAGTTGGCAGCAACAAACCTTGCAAATTTTGTCCAAATAGTTGGTTAGGTCAAGTTGGATGGTTTATAAGCTCTTATGGTTTGGATGGTTTGAACAATTTTAAGTGGATTAACCCTTTAATCGATTTTAAATACTAACTCGATTCGTTTCTATTATTAGGTACTTGTTTGGCCAGTTTAATCGATTAATCCAGCCTAATTTTCAAAACAATGCTCTTAAGTATGTAAATTTCAATTTGTACTACCAATTTCGTCCAAAATCTGAGTTGGAGGTACTATTTATATCATTGAATCCTTTATTGCATATAAAGGATTTGAGTTTGTGATTCAATTTAAATGAATGTATGCTATGTTAGATTTGAGAGAAATTC